TGGATCTCAGGATGTCTGGGGTTTCTCAGAAAGAAACTTAGGACACTTAGAAAGTTTAGAAAGGAAGCTAGTTATCAACTTGTAGGGAAATGTTTTAATATTTTAGCAATGCGCATGGCCTTGTGGTTGCCTACCAGCTGAATAGCAGGATCATTTATACTTTCAGTGAGTACCTCCATTTGTGATTGTAATAGCTTACATCTCAAGTGTTTTAAATTTACCTATGGAGACAAATTAATTATGTTATATTGCTCTTAATGAATACCCTAATCATCTTTATATGGGCATACTTTGGGGAATAGGCAGGCTATATGTTCAAACTTTCAGCTATAAATGACACCAAAATGTGTCTGATTATGTTTTAAGTAATTGTTTTGTTTTGTTTTATTTTTTTGTTTTGAGACAGGATCTCACTATGTAGTGCAGGATGGCCTTGAACTTACAGCAATAATCCTGCCTCAGCTTCCCAGGTGCTGGGATTACAGGCATGAGCCACCACATCTGGCTATTCAAATACTTTTTTTTTATTTTTGTCTTTTAGACACAAGGTCTCACTATGCAGTTCAGGCTGGCCTTGAGCTCACTTTGTAGCCCAGGCTGGTCTTGAACTTGCAATGATCCTCCTGCCATAGCCTCCTGTGCTAGTGACATAGGGGAGAAAAACTCCCAACCTAAACAATATTTGGGATGAGTTCATGTTGGATGAACGATGAGAGAGAAAGAGAAAGACAGAGAGAGAGAGAGAGAAAGAGAGAGAGGGAGAGAGAGGGAGAGAGAGCCCCCCCCCCCAGTGGGTTGCCCCAGGAACCTATCTTTTCCAGGGACTTCATAGAGCAAAATCACGAGGTGAGGCAGGTCCAAGGTGCGGGGGAAGAATGGGAAATCACAAGGCAAGCATGAGGTGGGACAAAACTATGGTCATCCAATAAGAATTGTTCAGGTTAAATTAATTAAATTGGGAAGTGAGTCAAGTAGCAAGCGGGTAAGAATACAGAACAGGGGCTTTTCCCATAGAGGGTTGGGTCAGTGACTTTTCAAGGTGATCGCTACCTATTTAGAATATCAGTCCCTGACGTCCACCCCTAGAGAGATATGTGAGTGTGTTTATTTAATCTTTTGTCTTGAGGTCTGGCCCGCAGCAAGTACCGTCTTTCCATTTGCAACGTGTCTTGTCTTCCTTACTGGCTCCTTCGAGGGCCTGGCCCTGTCTGACTGCCTATAATATTTCTAACTCAGCTGCCTACAGCACTGGGATTATAGGCATGTGCCACCATCAAATACTTTTAATGAGACTTTTGTTTTATTTCCTGGAAGATGGCATTGCCTTATTGAATTCTAATTTGAGCATTATTTTAGTAAATGAAGGTTAAAAGGAAAAAAAAAATCTAATGAAGGGATGTATTTATTTATTTATTTATTTATTTGTCTTTTTATTTATTTGTTTGTTGCTATGCAGTTCAGGCTGGCCTTGAGCTCACTTTGTAGCCCAGGATGGCCTTGAACTTGCAATGATCCTCCTCCCTTCTGAGTGCTGGGATTACAGGTGTGCACCACCACGCCTGGCTCTAAGGAAGGGATTTAATAATGACATTTGTTTACATGTCATTTGCTATTTCATTTTAACATTCATTGAGATCATTTCATAGGTATCATGATAAGTATTGTGGAAAATGGAAAAACGAACGGGACAATGTCTCTATCTTTCAAGAGATAGAAGGTGGTATAATAGGACAAACACTTTACCAATTATAATGAAACTAATAAAATAGGAGGAATCTAAAGCAATCTGAACTAATAAAATAGGGGGAATCATTTCCTATGAGGAGTATCCAGGAGTTGCAAAAAAATGTGTATCTGGAATACAGAATGGGAAGCAAGGTGTATGGGAGAAAAATTCAGAAAAGGTGATCAAGCCACTTAAGTTGTGGAAAACAGAAACCAATACAACTACCTGGAAAAGATAGGGACTTAACTTGTTAGCTCTTAACACCCCTTTGCCTGCCTTCCCACTTCCCTCACACAGAATCCATTCCGTTTGGTGTTTCTCCCACCCCACTCCGTTTAACTTCTTCCCTCCTTCTGCAGACGGGCACTCCCCATGTGGTAGAAAAGACAGCCACTGGGGGGCTCCAGTTCACATCCTTGCAGCCCTGTGACCCAATAGGCAAGACACTTTTTTTTTTT